TGTCTGCATGTGTGTGGGTGTGATTTTGTCTTTCAACCCATCATGAAGTGTAGCCACTGTAACGAGAGGAGAAAAAAAAGCCCAAAAGCTTCAGCCCTGTATGTAATAACAAAGCTAAGCTGTGGAGAGTTGTGCTCCGTCCCCAGAGAGGTGGGAGGAGGGTGGAGGCGCGCTACACAATGAAGAGCTGGATGACGCAGCTGAGAAAGGAAAGGGAGGGATGCATGGAGCAGAATCCTGAACGAGGAGAAGAGGAGGAGGAGGAGGAGGAGGATGAAGAGGAGGCGGGGAGAGAGAGGGAGAGAGAGAGAGGGAGCGTAGGCAGACTGTGTGGGAAGGAGATGCTGCATAATCAGCTTTCTAGGGTTTTCTCCTGCTTTTTTCTTTTACTTTCTTCAACATCTTTTTTTTTTTTTTTTTTCTTTAGCGAGTGGCACCGGCCTATTCATCTCCATCAGCTCTATCTATATCTGCCTGGGTGTCTCGTTGTTCCTCCTGCCTTTCTTTCCATCACTCTTCATTTTTCTTTCCACCCCTTTCCTCTCACTGACTCATTTAGCAGCTTTGAGCCTCCTTGTCCTGGATTTCTGTGTAGAAGGAATGACAAAACATCTCGTCTCACCATCCATGTCTAACAGACTGATGGTATCGGCTTTGTTCTTTAAGTTAAATCCGCGCTTTTGCTTGTGAAAAATAATAATAATAACTTATAGCTTTTCTCTGAGCAATTCACAAAACTGTAGTAGTGAAAGCCCTTTTTTTTTTTTTTAGCTTTACGGCTGTCTGACACGCAGCTAAAGCTCGGCCCCGTTCAACATTATTTCACACTTATCAGCTTTTGGCATCACATTTATTTTAGCTACATATAATAAGTGAGAAAGAGTCATCTAATCGTGAGCAAACGAGTAACCCGATGAGTCATCTGCATCTCCTGCACATTCGAATGGCGCCTGGAGCTGCTCCGTTAAAAGGCAATCTGGTGAGAGAGAAGGGAGAGGCGGGGGAACGCGTGGGTGGAGGGGGAAACAGAGGAGCAGGTGATGGTGGTGGTGGTGGTGGTGGTGAGGAAGGACGGATGGAGGGAGGGAGGGAGTGATGGGGGTTTTCCTCTCAGAAGCATCCCTGAATACTGAGCATCCCCCCCCCCCGCCTTCACTCGACAGGCGGCTTATGTTTGGAGGTAGAGCAGGCGGGAAGGTGGAGGAGAGGGGTGGTGGTGGTGGTGGTGGTGGGGGGGGGGACTGCAGAATATATGTGTTCATTCATGTGTGAGGTAGACTTTTAAATGTGCAGCGTGTGGGTGGGTGTGTGAAGAAAGGGCACAAAACAGGGAACACCATCGCCATCACTATTTGTGGTTGGAGACGGTATGAGTAACAGTTTGGTTGTGAATGGAGCAGCCTGAATCAGTTGCAGCGTGTTTACTTAGTGCAATCATTTGCAATAAGCCATGACAGCTGAAGCATCTCTTACATCTGTCCTCATGTGTTTTTCTCTTTAGCGTCTTGTCTATCTGTCCGCAGCTTCCCCCCCCACCCCCACCCACCCCCCCAAGTGACTATTCAACATCAGTTACCATGTGAACGTGAAATGCATTTACAGAGCAGGACTGCAAAATAACAAGAGGGAGGGAAGGATATTGGTTAGAGGGGCCATCCTCTGCACACAAGGTCACAAGTTCAATCCCCACAGGAGCCGCTGTGTCTAACAGAAGGCATGCACAGAGCACATCTCTTGGTTTAGACTTTGTTTTTTTTTTCTGGAAGATGTTCCTGAGGGTTACCATCAAAACTTGCTGCTCCTGTATCACATGAACGATCTGGCAGCGATGCTTGTTTATGGAACAACCATTTGAATTCACTTTTTAAGAAGCCACCGTCTTTAAAGAACAAACTAAACCACCAACCCATTGTTTGGTGTAGTGGATAAAACTCAATGAGAAGAGACATCATCATTATGAAAAGATCTGAGTTATAAATTCTTAATGTGCATGATCCAAGGCTGTTTTTTTTTTTTAGTTATTTGCATTATTACAAATGTGATTTCCAATGTAGCTGAATCATCAAGTGCGGTGCACAGCCCGCTGCAGACGGGAGCTTAATTAGATTTTGCACAGGAACCCAGAACAGAAACAAACCAGTTCGTCTACGCTTGAATGTCTGGCCTCAGGTTTTCTCCTTCTGTTGCTTTATTGTGCCATACAAACACAATGTGTGCTGGTGTCAAGTTTTAAAATAAAATGTACACACAGGGAACTTCTATTTGATGCAGCGTCACAATAGTTTAATGCTGTGATTTAACGGATGCACAGTGACCCAATACAAATAACCATTATTAATACGCGATGACAAAAAGGGTGCGTAATTGCTTTCTTGCCCTTGTAGTTTGGAGACTTGACAGATATTTGAAATGGATACAGTCTGTGAACAACCTCAATGGCTGTGTCACCGGGTTTGCCACACTCCACCGACGATGACGTATCTGCACATAGCGAAGGAAACCCCTCTACAGTCCCCCAACTGGCTGACTGCTGAGGTGTCGGGGCTCAGCGATTGGCTGACACATAATGGAGACGGTGGTGGAGGCGAGCTTGGGGATGATGCAAAGGAGTGAAACAAACACAGAGGGGAGGCGGCCTGACACCGTCGCCCTCTTTCAGGGACGATTGATGTCAGATTCCCAAAAGCTCTACACCCACATCCCGCCGTTTTTAATGAATGGATGAATGAATGCGGCTTGTTCCTGCTCTGTTCACCCTGCAGTCCGTCAGTGCGGAGAAACAAAGTGTGGAATCAGTGACTGACAGCGGTTGAGGGCAAAGCGTTTGCGGTTATGAAAATTGCTTTTTTCAAATGATACAGCTTGAGGCAGCAGAAGCCCGTCCAGTGTTTCAGTTTGTTTTCAGAAGCTGATTTTACAGATTATTTAACAATCAGTCATGGATTATTGAACTTTTCATCACAATAATATGATTATATGCATTCACATGTAGTCATATTCTCACTTCAGGTCGTGTAAAATGCAGTCCTTCTGATGCAGAGAAATTTCTTCGGTTCATGTGCACGCCTCCCAGCGGACTCCTCCGTCCACGCTCTGCTTTGTCACGACTCTGATATATGGATTTGATTTGTGGTTAACCCAGTCTTTGATAAGGCTTCCCCTGTGACAAGTCTGTTCCTGTACAAAAAGACTTCGCATGAAGCTGAATCAGTCCGTTTCTATCACTTCTCAGTTCTGTGGAGACTATGTCGACTGTTTCCTTCACATAGAGCTCAACCCACACGTTTATACACAGCTGTGTCTCCAGTAGTTTTTTTTTTTTTAGTCATTGCAGCCGTAGTGAGTTGTGATGTCTTGTTAATTAAAATTCAGAACTGAATTCCTCTCTGGGCAACTGAGAAAACCAAAAGCTGCAGTCGACTGATCAATTGCTCTCGTGCAATCAAATTTTCATTAGTTAGACAATTGCTGGTGTTACTTTCATAAGGAGCCTTGCAGTATTAATCTGTTATTTTTTTGGGAGGAGAAGACTACCTACCATTCATACCTTTGTACTTCCCCAATCTAACAGGGACTGCTAGGTCTAACTTATTGTACAGATACTGAATGTTTATGTGGGTCTAAACCAGGGGTGTCCAATCCTGGTCCTCGAGAGCCCCTATCCAGCATGTTTTAGATGTTTCCCTCTTCCAACACACCTGATTCACATGATCAGGATCAGGCTTCTGCAGAGCTTGATGATGAGCTGATCATTTGAATCAGGTGTGTTGGAAGAGGGAAACATCCAAAACATGCTGGATAGGGGCTCTCGAGGACCAGGATTGGGCATCCCTGGTCTAAACTAATTGACACAATGCCAAAGGAGTCATAAGTGTTGCTGCGTTTTGTTAAAATGGACGACCAACATGGCGTATTGTCTAAAAACAGTAGGAAAACTTGCCTGCATTGTATTCCTCAAATGTTTTTTGTGCAGGGATCACAAGTTGATATATATCAGAAGTCATATGAATATAAACAGCTGCACGCTGGTCAGCTTTGAGTTTGTTTCAGTAGAAAATAACCTGGTCAAAATGATTTCATACACTGCAAAACCTCACTTTTTACCTTCATTTATAATTCATGTGGGCTAAGAAGGATAGCAGGTAGTGCGAAGTGGCTGATTTATTTCAACTGTAGATAATTTGCAGACTTTTTCCCTCCGATACCAATCACTTGGTACGATTTCAAGATTTACTTTGGTTGACTACAGCCCTAATTTGAACCCTGAAGGCAATCCATTGCTCCAGACTGAAGTATCTCAACTGCTATTGGATGGATTTCCATACAGTTTAGCCCAGAACTTTCATGGTCCCCAGAGGATGAATCCAACTTTGGTGTTTCTCACCTTTTTCCTCCAGTGCCATGAAGTTAACATGCAGGGTTTTGGATGAACTACCATTGCCATTAACTTTTAATTTAGCACCATCAGTCAAAAATGATTTTAAATTTGAATGGATTTGTCTAACTTTTGGTTTACCTCCAAACTAATTAAATCCCCATCAACCTCTTCTGTATTTGCATTTAGTGCTAATTAGGAAATGTGAGCATGGAAAGAAGTTGAAGGGGGCGGGGTGATGAGGGGTTTGCGATGAATCATGATCCACTTGTGTATCTTCTGCTATGATTACCATCAAATCAAGCATCCGGTCGGGTAAATCCATGTCACACAATGACCTTAATTTGCTGCTGTTGTTTCTGCCCCCCCTGTGTTTGAAACCAGAGGGGCAGATTATAAGTTGCAAACAGGAAGGCAGACATTTAAGAAGTTCCCTTTGTAGATCACAGACTGGATTTGGCTTTTCTCTCCAATTAATTTGGAGGAGGTGATGAGGAGAGGCAAGAAATCAATATGAGCCTGAGCAACAGAGAAAAATGAAATGAGATTCATGAGAGGGAACCTTATCTGCGATCCATTCCCACGCCTTCATTTACAACCTTGAAATAAGGCACATTATAACCTGTTTTTGTTTCATTCATTTATTCACAGATTGGAAAACAACCCTAAAATAACACTTCTTTTTTTTTTTTTTTTTTAATGATTTGGTCCCTCACGGCTCAATAGATTTGGATCAACAAAAGCAAAGTTAAGAAAGCTCATCTTTTTTTTTTTCTTTTTTTTTGTCCTTTGAGAAATTAAGCAGTTTACTAACAAGCAAGGAATACAGAAATACTTCTACTTTCAAAGAGATAAATCTCACAAAATCTCGTCGGTTACAGCATCCTAGCATGACTCTTAAAAGTGGATTCCATAAAGTACAAAATCTCTAGTCATACCAATGTTTTGACTTCTGCCTGAAACAAATGAGCATTAACTATGGACTCGATCAGTTTGTACCATAAGTCTGAGAAAACATGAAGATTTGTACTAAAATGTTAACTCTCATGCAGACCTACACATGGCTATGCATCGATGCATTTGACAGGCTACTGGTTAGTATACAAACACCATTTACAACAGTGTCTCCAGTTATACAGCATCTGTCTAAACGTAGCAAAGGACATCGATTTCGTCTAGCTCTTGTGACTTTGTGCTTGTATACACAGCAGACTCAAATATTTGTACAAATGTACTGATTTGAATTCAATCATGGCTATTTTCTCTGTGGTTTGCTGTAGTGTCGTCCTCTCACACTGACTCATTTCTGAGACATTTTTTTTTGGCTTTTGATCTGTGGGAAATGCAGCTGTCTTCCCTCTTTCACCAGAATTTGCTGAGTAATTATCATCACTTTCATCATAACTGCGAGTGGGGGATTACTGATATTTTATTCCCTTCCTGCTAATTAGCATCAACAAATTTGTGCCAGAGCGTCGTGTTTCTTAATAGTGACATAATGGTTCAGCGTGTGTGTGTGGATGAGGGTTTGCCTGAAATAAAAGAGAGAGAGCAATAAAAATCTTCTTTTTTTTTTTAAACGCTCAGCTCTCTGCTCTTCATTTGAGAACACCTCCTTTCATCTCAGTCATTGTTCCTCTAATGAGCAACGCTGCTGCTGCTGCCTCGGAGTCCACTTAGCCACAAGAGGATACTCCTGTCATGCACGGGAGAAAGATCTAATCTGGGCAGCATCATCACCATCCATCCACCCAAACAAAGAAAGGAGGGTAATATTTGTTTCCGTTTACTGCAACCTCGATGCATGAGGAAGGGGGGGAAACAGGGGATGCCAGGAGGACTTCCCTTCCCCTCTTATGATTAATATTCAACACCATCTTCTGCAGTGATCCCCTCACTGCACGTGGGAGAGAGAGAGAGAGAGAGAGAGAGAAAGAGCCCTCGAAGAAAAACGTTTCATGAGCAAAACTGGGTTACAATCAACCTGCTGCTGATGCTGAGAATGTAAAAGCAGATTCCGCTCATTGCATGCATTCTTTGCCCGCAGGACATAATCTGATGATGTGGTTGAAGGTTAAAGAAGACGCAAAATAGGAGGGGAAAAAAATAAATGGAGTTAAATATAAATATGGTCTTTGTTCGGTTTGGTTTTATAAGCTGGCAGGAAGTCTTCAGCCCTCGAGGGAGGCATCGACTGCACTGGTAACTTTCTCAAGAGGAGAAGAGGAGGAGGGAAAATAAGAATGTCGTATGTGGACAAATAAGTTTTGTGAGTCCCGTGCACGAGAAAACATGCCTTTTCGTATAAATTGTCTGAGAGAGCAGCCTTAACAAGCTTTAATGTAACTGCCCATGTCATGGCTGTAAACCTGTGCACAAGTCAGTTGATGCACAAAATACTAAGAGTCATAGCTTATGGAGTCGTACGTTACTGTTATATATCTGCCACTAACTACACCCCGGTGCTGGAGTCTAGTCTGATAGTTCTGTCTGTCGGTGCAGGACGTGTCCTCTCCAAACCTGCCACGCTGTCAGTTTTTCATTGTCATTTAAGCAATGCAGACGTACAAAAATATATTACTACTCATTGAACAAACTGATAAAAGTAAACAAGATATTTGTCACAAAAGCTGAGAAGCATTTTCGGTCAAAAACAGCAAACATCGTAACCAGTCACACACTGAATTAAAAGATATCTTCAATTTTATATTCTAGCAGAAACTTTTCTGGCTTTTTTATCATTTGAAGACCACTTCCAGGGGTCTCGACCCACAGACTGGGAACCTAAAAAAAAAAATGGTCTGATTAGCTCTACGTGATTTGCCTCCTCTTATTTTTGGGATGGACTTTAAGATCCCGAAATAGGCTAGACATCGAGATAAATGATGCTTCATATAGTTTGGACAGATTAATTAGGATATTCTAACAAATCTTTTCTATTATAAATATGATAAAACTACATTATTATCCAATTATGTAGGATCACAGGACTTGTAGGTATCTGTTGTGTCCAGTTCAGTAGCTTTCTACTTGTCTAATAGCACCTGGTTTCACAGTGGATCAAAGAGTAAAGAGGCCACACCAGCCCTCAGCTTCACTTATTCTTACTGGAGACAAGAAAGACAGCAGTAGAGACATAAATAGACCACAGACACAGAAACAATCAATGAGGAAGCAATTATTACTAAAATAACATGAGTTCTGATATGTTAGCTCTTATTTTTGATTTGTATTTTGCTTGTAAAATGGCAACACTGAACAGCTTTCGTAATGCTAACACTTACACAGAGAGACGGGATGCATTTCTGGCGGATCGACTGCATCTACGATTATCTGGGAATAGCTGTGTATCTGATTTAAAGCATATTTTGCATGGTTTCTTTACGGGTGCGGGTCACCCACCGTTTGAGCGGAGACACATTTAAACCGAGGCGAGACAGACCAAACAGAGAGAACAGTGTGTGTCAGCAGGAGGAGCGAGGTTTGACGAGGAGGACGACTGGAGCCCTGCTACACTGGGCTGTGGTCCGGAGAGGCGTGCGTGGCCGTCACCATCACGCACTCGGTGGCTGTTTCCTTGGTCCTGCGAAGGCCCCTGTACAGCCTCTCATCCAGGTTAGCAGTCAGTTTGTCCGTGAGCTCCGCCGTGATGGTTTGCGGGCCGTAGCCTGAGGAGTCGGGCAGCTGAGGGGGCGAACGCTCATCCGGGGGTTCGGGCGGGTGTCCGGACTGTTTGCTGTCCTCCTGAGGGTCGGGTTGCTCGACTAGAACCCCGTCTTTTTCTGAGATGGAGGTATGAAGAGGTGGAGGAGATGAGGATGGGTGGTCCTCTCTGACGGTGACACCCTGCCCCTTGCCCTTCCCTCCATCCTCTGTGGGTTCTAACTTTGGGGTGTCTGGAGTGCTGCCGGTCCCGTCGCTGGTCTCCTCGTCTGGAGCGCTTACAATGCGGGGCAGTGTGCTGTGGTAGCTCGTGTCCAGGGGGTAGTTTACGCTGTCGCCCCTCCGTAGCGGGGTTCGCTGTCTCTCAAAGGAGGACTGGAAGTGCCTGACGCCGGGGTCGCTCCACTGCTTGTGCCGCTGCCACTGCTTGCGGAGGTGGATTCGGGAACGGTGCTTTCTTAGCGGCGACTCCTGCTGGTCAAACTGAGGGTCATGGCGGAGGAACTCGTGGAAGAGCGCGTCGGTCTTTTCGTCTATGCTGTAGTCCCGCCGGTGCAGGGTTAGCGGTGCAGGTGGAGGCAGCGTAGCCTCTCGAGGAGTCAGCATCTGGCCATATGGGAACCAGCTCAGTGAACCAGCACTCGCTTCAGTGGAAACTCCCCCACTGGCACCCAACAGCAACTCATCTTCAGGCTCCTCCTCGAAGAGATGAGACTCAAAACTTTCGCCAATCGTACCCGTTCGCCCTGCGTTGGTGAAATGGTGTCTTTTCTCGTGGGCTGTTCTGTCTTTAGGGCTCCCGCTGATGCTGCTGCTCCCAAACAGTCGCAGGTCTTCTGGACCTCGAGATGGAGCTTCTATCGATGCATAGCCGCTGTCCATCTGCAGCAGTTTGCGGGTCCCTGTTTCTCCATCACTGGCCCCTCGCTCTGATTCTGTGCTTGCTTGTTTTCTCTTTTTCGACTCCTTCCCTCCCAACCTCTCATCAATATACACAAAGAAGTCCTTGTCATCCTCTCCACCCTCTGCCTCATCCCCTAAATCCTGGGATGGGTAGCTGGGGAGCCCTCCTCTTTCGGTCTCGGTGCGTCCGCCCAGCGAACACACACTGTCAGCATCACTGCAGACTGAGTTCCTGTCATTGTTGCTGCTTTGGTCGGAGGCGGCGTACTGTTCGAGCGTTGCACGTAGCGACCAGATGTCTCGGTAAAGTGTTTGGGGATCCTGGGGGTCGAGGGGGTCGAGGGGGTCCAAAGGGACGCCGTCCCTTCTTGCCATGGATCGTGCTTCTTCTTGAGGATCAGGGGACAAGCCAATCACCCCTGGTCCTCCTTGGCTGCAGCTGGGCTCCACCATCACCTCCACCTCTACCCTGTAGCGTGGAACACAGGGATGGAGAGACGAGATAAAATGAAGGAAATGAGGAGGAAACAAAGAGACACGCAACACAAGTGTCATCGTCAGAGCGTTTACCTGCATTCATCTGAGACGTGGCTGTGTTCACAATGCACAGAATGACTTTTATGACTTGCAATGGTTGCTGGTTGCATGTCCTGAATGTGAACTCATAGCTGAAGGCATGTGAGCTCACTAAGTTCTCAGAAATTCATCTGAGGATATCAAATTTAAGGGATATCCGTTACACAGAACGTAGCATGACTCAAAATCACTAGATGATCATCAAATATCTTGGCTCATGGCAGTTTCATAGAAATTGGTTTTATTTTTAACAGTAAGTATCAGCACCCAGGAAATACAGATTTTGTTTAATCTAATATTCAACTTAGGAAAATAAATTGTTAGATAAGAAGATGTTTCAGTAGATTTGATTATTATTGTTGCATTACCTAATAGTCTGTAAATTTATGTAATTGCAGAATTTAAAATAACAACACTGCGGTGACCCTTGCTCCTTTGAGGACATCATGACATTATCAGACCATGTCAGCGATGGAATGGTTTCTTGTGCCAGATATTAACCCCATGTCCTAATTCTCCACACCACTCTGGGGAAAAAATGCACTCTGGGAATCCCCTGCATCTGGCTTGGAATTTATGAAATTGGTTTGGAAAGACGTCTTGCTTACATGGATCTTCTTACAAACAGATCAAACTGTGGTTAAGTAGTATTTAGTTACTCTGCGTTGTGTTTTTTCAAATGTCAGGGCAACGCATTTACTTAAAAAATTACCAGGGGAAGTTTCTGAACCTAAATGTTAAGATTTTTGAGTTTAGTTTATTGATGCTAGCATTTCACTCAGGGAATATAAGCGCACTTTTAGGTTAACCCAAAGTAGTGGAGAACTGGGACTTAGAGCCTACTTTAACTCATTAGCACCGTTTTTTTTTTTTTTTTTAGCTTTAGTAAAAGAAATGAGGCAGCAAAGCAGTGGACAGGATGAATGGCAAGGGAATTAAAGATACCTGCCGAGGGAGGGGGGTGGTGTGGAAGGAGGCGAGAGGAGGCGTGTGGTGGGCTGGCTGGGACGGTAGGTGACGTCCTGGGTGCGGGCGATGTACTGGATGAGGTCTATGTGGTGAGCGTCGTTGTCGTCCTGGTCCATGCTCTCGCTGGCGGCTCGCTGGCGCTGGAACTGCCTCCTCTTCGGAGAGCCTGGCGAGAGCAGCGAGTTATACAAGTCGTGTGACAGCAGGAGCGAAGTGACACTTAATTCCATCAACTGTGAGGGGCGGGGGCAGGGGAGGTGGATTTGTGATCTTTTTTTTTGGTCACTGGGTATGACAGAAGAAGAAGTGAGCGGGCAGGATGTCTATATAGGATGAAGGAAGGATTTACTCGGGGGCTCAAATTGATTTGGAACAACCAAACTTTGCGTCACTGAGCCATCTGTCTTCTACGCTTGTGTGTGCGTAGCTGAAAGTCAGTAAAAAGGCAGCTCACAGTTGGTTGCTGGAGCCCCATGCTTAACCACTGTCTGTTTACTATTAGAGAAGGCTGGTTAAAACACACAAATTAGAATCAGATAGATTCTTTTTTCCACAGCACATCCTGGCTGCATTAGAGCTTTCTAAAAATAATATAGCAGAAATACACTTTACACCATCAAGAATCCATTACCTCTGGTGTCCAGACTTGAGGCTCTCTGGCTGCTGTCCAGCTTCCACTTCTTGATCTTGAAGTAGGGACTGGCTCCCTCCAGACTAGCATGGCGCCGCAGTTTAGTCAAGAACTGCAGCACGGGCCTCTGGCTGCCTGCACCGCCGCCGGCTGGAGAGGCAGCGCTCCCCAGCGCGGCCCCTTCCCCAACGCTGACACTGCTGCCTCTGCCCCGGGGCCCGGCTCCCATCATCTCGATCTGAGCAGAGAGAGAGAGAGCAAGAAACGTGGTCAGAAAGGAAACCTGCCAAGAGTAGTAGACTGTGTATAATCCTGTCTGACAGTGATGTTCCACACAGGCTTCCATGTTTACCCATCAGCCATCATTCTCATTGGTCCTCCCTCAGGCTCTGTGACCCTCCGATGTCCGTATGGATGACTCACTGGTTGACTGGCTAGTGGGTGTAAAGACCGACCGACTTAAGAAAATGCATCACTCTACGAATGATTAATGATTACCTCCACAAACTTCAGCTTGACCCAGATTCCACACGGCTCAGTTGCTGAAAACATGAGCTCTCGCAGGTAATTTGTATGCATACTCAGTACGCGAGAGGTATTTGCTCTCATGTGTTTTTAATGTGTGACTCTTTAGTTAACCAGAGGAGTGAAATACTGCATATTTTACAACAGTATAAGGTAACTTACAGAGCTAGCGCTCGGCTCCTTGGTGCTCAGAGCCACAGTGTTCATGCAGAAGCTGGTGTCCACCACAGAGTTGAGAGCATCTCCAGGAAGAGCGCCGCTGGGACTGACACTGAGGCTTGTCAACGCTGTTTGTGGTAGCGGACACAGCATCGGCTGAAGGGAAGCGCACAGACACACAAAACAAGACTTAGTTTCTTTTTAAATCCTTTGCTGAGTATGTATGGTATTAAAGATTAATCTAGTTTTGCACAAAAGCACAGTATTCTGCAGCATAGTAGCTGAATTTCTAAAGTTTCTTGTCATTTTTAGATAACATTTATGAATGATTATCAAGTCCAAATTCCTTTAAAGCAGTCATCCCAGCACAATGACACATATTTACCGAGTGCCAGTATTGATACCCTTGAAAGTTGTCTCCTATTATTGCTTTTCAACATTGAATTATTCAGACTCTTTCATGTCAAAGTGTTGATCAGTTAACAATATAGTAGTTACATAAAAATACATTAAAAGAGGCAGTTATCTGTGACTTTCAACAAGTTTAACAACAAGCGGCAGAGTGATTTATGGTCATATGTGCTGTTGTAGGGACTTCAAGGTTCAGCGGTCTCTTATTTCAATTGAAATATAAATTATTTGAGACATAAAACAGATTTTCTCAACATTTACTGGATCATAAAATGAACCAAAGGTTGAGTAATTGTGTGATGCCATCAGTTAGGAGTTGCAAAGTCCTCATGTCGATGTTAGCACAACACATTTTTAGATTATATTTTGACAAGTTTTTAAGGGTGTGGTTAAAGCATATTTATTTTGGAGGACATAATGGCAACAGTATGCAAACACCAACATACCGTACAGTGCTTATAAAAAACATTCATTCACTAGAAATGTTCCCTTTTTATTGTTTTTTTAAGAATTTGTACTGTTTTTGGCCATGAATATACAATAAAGTCGCTTTCGTGTACACAGTAAAAAACTGTTTTTACTGTGTAATATCAACTTAAAATACAAAAGTATGATTATTGATTGCATAAATATTCACTAGCACGTTGGCCTGGCTGCTATTACAGCATTGCACCTGTGTGGATGGATCTTAACTCATCTGGATGCTATAATTTTATCCCATTCTTCTTTGCAAGACTGTCTGGTCGCATGGCGATTGTGCGTTACACTTTTCACTTTGACATGAGAGAGTCTTTTTTGGGGGTTAATTCTTGTCAAAAATGGCAAATTACTTTGACCCTTATTTGATGCTGAAAAGCAGGGTGACTGCTTTTCATGGCCACTGTAAATGTGTGTGTGTGAAATGAGCAGACAGAGGATCTCACAGGACACACTGGGTCGATATATTTCCTTTACCAGACCCAAGTGAAAGATGTTCTAATTGGCCCCGGTCAAGACTAATGATACACGGCAGGTCACGGCCGTCACCTGGAAGATGGAAAGTGCTGACTTAGCGACGGGACGCGTTGTCGCGGTGATTGTGTTCTCTGCTGAGTCACACTCGTGGATGGTGACTATCTTGAGGGCCGGTGGAGTTATGTGGAGATGGGTCAGCCGGGCGTTCTTCAGGTGGTGGAAGTCGCCCTCGGTCAGAGTGTACCTGTGGCGGACAACATCGAGTTAAATAAAAAGTCTGAATCCTGCAAGATTAGACATAAGTTGAAAATGCTCTCTAAGTTTTAAGTGATGAAGCTTATCCTTCCTCAAGACACAAACAGCCAGAGAGAGATATCTGACTTCTGGATTTAGCCCTACAGAATAATTCCTTTTGAAGATTTTGCATATCAGGCTGAGGGCTTTAAGAGAAAAGTAGAGCAGTGAAAAAATTAGAAAGTGTCTTTGTGTCCACAGCATACGTACTGCATTCTGAATTCACCCTAAACTAACACAGTAAAATGTTTGCATCCTTAAATCTCAGAGAGCAGCAAGCGTGGAATGCACAGACATTAATGACAGTTTGGTGCTGAATTACAAGCATAATGTGGGTTTCAGTGTATGTGTTGGCTTTCTGACCTGCGGCCCTTCTCCTGGGCCTTCTTGCCATGATCGAAGAGCGCAGCCTCATTGAAGGAGACGCGGCGGCCCGTGGGGCCCGTGGAGAGGAAACGCTCCGTCTCTTGGTCGTGAGAGCTGGCCATGGACAGGCAGTCCGACTCATCCACCCTGATGGTGATTTCTACCCAGAATTACAAGGTAAGAGAGGCAGAAAAGACACATATTTAGGTAGATGAATGAATGAATGAATGAATGAAGGACGAGAGAAGGGCACTTTATAGCTGAATATAAGAGTTTTCAAGCATAGTAATGTTGGTCTGTCGATGAGTTAATTCATTGTTTTCGTCCACACTGAAACATCTGTACAGTATTTGTGCTCCCTAAAGGAGCAATCCAGCTAACTTTTAAAGATTTCTTGATTTTTTTTTTTATTCTACTGCCATCAGCAGAAAACAGTTACTCATTCAGTGTAATTTCTGAATGTCTATGAATTTGACAGTCGTGCTCCCCAGAGGAGACACCCTACAGTCTTTGGTGACCCTCTGACTTTTCCTCCTGGACCACAATGATCTCTGCGGTTTTGAATGAAAAGTGTCAACATTTTTTAAGTTGCTATAAAATCTGTTACAGACATTCACGAGCCCATCAGGAACAAATAAACAGACACTTGGTCTTGAATTGTACGTCCAGTTTGGTCCATTTGACACGTGGGGCTTAGTCACGTATTATTTGCTCAAACAGTCCCTGATTCATGTTCCCGTGGGGACCTTAGTTGCATGTCATGTACTATCTGTTCCCACTCTTTTCCTGTCACTGTTCCACTATGTGCTGTGTAATAAAAATAAACAATGTCCAAAACTACTTATTTACTACTCTGTCCAGTCAGCTGGACAGAGTAGAATAGAATAAAAACAAACTTGTATTTGGTTTCTAAAACTCTTTCGTGTCAGTGGAAACAGATTTCTACATAGTAAAGTCCAGTTATTACAAATATAAAATGATTCCATCAGTATTCACGCTTTCAAGTCTCAGGTCTTGATCAATCTTGCACATCTGGCATTGCATTTTTACCCCTTTTTTCTTTGCAAAACTGTCAGGTTGCACAGCCATCATGAGTAAACCACAATTACACTTGTCACTCTGACACGAAAGGAAAAAAAAAAAAGCCACAAAGCCAAATTAAACTGACCATGATTCAACTATACTATAAACTTCAACTGACTAAACTCAAGTGAGGTCAAGTGTCTGATGTTCAGACACCTTTGTGAAGGATCACTATGATAATGTGTCAAACTGCTGACGGGAAAACTAAACAAAAGGGCTTACAAAAGCAGTTTGGTGCCAAACTGATGCTGCCTTTTAATAAATCATTTCTCATTGGACACAGAGTGCTTTCACTGGTCCCAAAATGTCAGAATGTGTTCCAGGAATGGCACAGCTACTTACACTAATTGGGGCGGGATCACAATATTTTAATGGAATAGACATGGCACATTTGTGCTGACGTGATAAAAATATTCCTGCCTCCATCAGTCCCATTTCCCAGCTTCCCTGTCTCCATTACTCCTCCCTCGCTCAGTCACTCGCCTCTTTATCTGTTCTTCTATCCCTCCCTCGCTACATTTCCTCTTTGTCCATTTTTCCTCTTACCGTGGGTGGGCTGAGACTCCTCCATGTAGGTGGTGTTGGTTTTCTCAGGGTCATTGCTGGCCCTGGGGCACACAGAAACATTCGGATCAATGCGGTGACATGATTACCCCTGAAGTCTGTCTTTCATCTGATGGACCCCGCTGATGCAGGCAGCCACACAGGCTACTAAGGCTTTATGATCAGCGGCACGGTTTGTCCCTTCTGCTCGGAGACACCTGGACTTTTAAATCGCACTTACAGGCGAACAGCTTAGAAATTCATTTATGAAACAAGCGTATGGGTAAGGTGATAGGAGTGAATATTCACTATGTTGTTTGACTAAATGGCTGCCTGCCTGGCTGTATAATCAATGAGGGCCTAAATCATTGCCAGTAACTTGATAACCTTCAGGGCCGGGGGACCTCTTGGCCTGATAAAGCACGGTGCTTTATTGGATTGTACGGTTCCCGCTCATCTTGTTTAGCGTGTATTACTCTTTTGGTGTACTTCTTTCTGAAAACCTTTCAGTTTTTAACATCTTTAGCAGCTGTTGATCTGCCACGGTGCTTCTTAAACTCTCATGCACAGGATTTACTTGATGAGGCAGAAAAGGAGAAACTGAAAGCTCTTCCCAGTCATTTCTCTCCATCTGATTTCTTTGTGCACCGCTATGACTTGCTTGTCTGTGTGTGTGTTTGTGTGTGTGTGTGGGTGTTAAGTGACTTGAGGGATTTCTCCATCCACCCAGATCTGTGCTTCTCCTTGTCTTTCATTTCCTCTGTGGCTCCCGCTTCTCCTCCATGCTGCGTATACGTGTGTGTGCAGGAGTTTGTGTGTCTGCGTGCGTGTGTGTGTGTGTGTGTGTATTCTCCGCGCGCTGGGTTGAGACGCAAGATTAATCACCGCCGATGGCTGCTATGAAATCTCATTACACTCATCATTTGTACCAGCCTGCCCGATTCTCCTCTTGCTCGCTCCCCCTGCCTTTTCACGCCTCAGCCTCTGTGCTCTCTGTTTATCTGCATCTAGCCGCTCTGCTCTTATGTGTTCGAGGGTACGCGGTGATGCCGCACGGAGGGACAAAGAGTCTCGAGGGTCAGCCATCTGACTGCTGAATAAACACGGATGAATCACAAATAAATGAGAGCCAATATTGAATGTAAGGTGTTTTCATAACTGGCCCCGCGGGGGTCCTGACACTCAAGCAGCAGACGCGTATAATCAGCGGATGCACCGTGTTGTCCTGCTTTAAAATGCTTACATGTCTCTATAGGGTAATATTAGTTTCCCCATCACCTACTGCAGTTCTTTGATTGTAAAGACGCTTCCGGTTGTTTGATGGCAGGCTCTCTGCCTCTTAATGGAATCGCGCTGAAGAACTGCTGTTAGCTTCATTTGCAACCGCAATGAGCTTTATCTATTATGTATGTATGCAAATTCGATATAAATACCGGTTTGTCTCTAAGTAGCAGTTGCATAAAAGCTCAGGAGAGAGCAGCTTCTATCAACGAATTGTGTGTACTCTTGTGTTTTTCATGCAGCACCTGTGCACCTGGATCTGCAGTTTAATCTGTGCTGCCTTTTTTTTTTTTTTGTCGGAACTGCGTAGGAGTGGTGTTGATTTAAGTTTGTGGGATGCAGAGTTTGGTGTTGTTTTGTCAGACTGCATCATTTGAAGGTTTGAGGGGGAATAAATAGCAGGGACACAAGGAAACAATACAAAATATGATAATAAAAACCAATATGACAGCTCACTCTGTAGCCTTAAAATCAGCAGAGTTGAACCAAAGGTGAACATTACAGGCTTTGTAAGGTTATCATTTATTACAGCGCTACGTTTATTAAATTGTACTGCTGCTGCTTTTATAATGTCTAACTCTTATAGTAGAACCGAGCTGCTTCCGTAGAGGTTTTTGGAGCTTATGTGCTGCATAAATTAAAAGTCATTCTAGATGAGGGGGGTTAGGTGAATTGCTTGAAAAAAATGAAAAAAGCTAAATCTAATACATAACTCCTGCATCGCACCTTGCACAGCATTGCCCTCCTCGACAGCAGCGGCGGCAGGCGATGAGGAAGACAGAGATGAAGATCAGCGTCCCTACCAGGAAGATGGAGAGGATCACCAGGAGGAGCACGGAACCATCCTGCTGCTCCTCGGCTTCGAATGGGATCTCCTGAGGTACAAAAGAGGCCAAAGAAATCTTCAATAAAGACAGATCAAGGGATTAATAGATAGATGCCGATCACATTATGTGGCTGTTACAGAAGGAAAAAAAAGCTTCCAACCACTCATTCGTGACTTATGTTGTGACTTTCTGACCTGACGGATGTGAAGAAAAAAAAAAAACGCCTCCACACTCTACTCGGTCAGATTTCTCACCTGTTATTCTTGCTGGCAGGTTGAGAACCATCAATAAGCCACGACTTACAGCACCAAAAAAATCAGCATCAAGATATACACTTTGCAGGTTCGGTGATTTTACAGACATTTATTTTACAACGTGAAATGCCTGACACCTTGACAGACGACTAGATCTGAAGGTGTTTTACCTCCACTTATAAGACTGATTTAGCCCCACTGATTGGTCGGCCTGCATAGGGTGAATCTATAAATACAACAGTGCAATCAATCAATTAATGCCAGGGCTATTAACCTGTCTGTAGTGTAACCTTAGCTGTGGGAAAGCTCTCATGCAGCTGAGAGAATTCACAACACACGAGCACTTTACATAACAATGTATTTGTCAAGAAGTCTTAAAATCTCTAGAAAAACTCGACTCAGTGGCCATAAGCAGATGGGAAGCCACTGCAAATAAAATGTGTTCCTGCAGCAGGTTTCTTCTTCGCCCATGCCGGCTGCAAGAACAGAAACGGTTTCAACAAAATGATAGATGGCAAAATGAGAGGGAGAATGGAGGTCAACAGCAGGCTTGGTTCTTTCACAGAGTATCAAAGCAGCCTGACAGCCGAGGGTTATATAACGATAACAGACCTTCGATATCAGAATGATGGTCTTTATAGGCGGAGTGTTCGGCCGAGCTCCACGAGGAAAGAACGCGCGGCGCAAGTGTTAATGAGCGCTAGACTGACATCACGCTGTAATTTCTGTGCGAGGGGGAAATTAAAGCCGAGATTAGATCAGAGATTTAATTATTTCAGGTCCAGGTCAGGATGTTCTCTATTAGCCAGTCAATCGGCCAGAGGAGAATATGAAGCAAAGTATGGGTCTGGTTGATGAGCTGCACACAAACACACACGGACACACACACAGGAAGTTTGAGAATTAGCCAGTGGTGAAAGGCAGACTTACTGTGGAGTTTTCTGGTAGGATGTTCCAGACGGTAGACTCATTGCTCATGGTCCAGGCCGACTAGAGAGTCCCCCTGAGAGATAACACATGCACACACACACACACACAAATATACAAAGGAAATGACTGTTATTGGAGCTGTTCATCAAATCACAAAGTAAACCACCACATGTAGTGCACTTTGCATGTTAATAAATCCAGACGTACTGGACGTGCAAGCCCGGGAGAGTCGTACGGGCAGCGGAGAATTAACACTTTGCAGCAGCAAAAGCTCAAACAAGCAACGAAAGGCTGCAACAAGAGGCATCAGATGTGTATGTTGTGTGTTTGTACGCATGCGTGCCGCCCCACAGGAGATGCAAGCGTTTGCATCTCGGCTGTAAATCATCACCCATAATTCCATATCAGTCCAAAGACTCTCGATCTGCCCACACAGAACAGAGAGAAACACCAGCAGCTGAGTTTCACTACCGCTACCGATGCTGCTATGCTCTTACAGATCATAGCCATTAATACTGCTACTGCTGCACCAAACGCCCACACAATCACACACACACACACACACACACACACACATCCTGGACAGATCTACTCACCCAGCAAGAGGGAAGCAACATGCCAGCAGCATTCAGCACTCCTTGCTCGCCTCGCCAGTCACTGCAGCACTCAACTTCAGCGCCACAACCTGTAAACCACTGCTGAGCTCCTGTCTTAATTCCCTGCCTCTACTGCCTGAAAACTGTTACGGGAAGCACACCGGGCTGTGACCAGAAATGCTTTCCTTTGCAAGTGCTGTACCACATCCTGCTTTCTCACCAGCCCCAGTGGTCTTACCCTGATGGAGGGCTGTGCGCAGCAGCAGCAGCAGCAGCAGCTCTGGATGTGTGTGTCGGGGCTGTTAGCTCGGGAGTCTCCTCCTCAGCTCCCTTGCTGCATCCTCGAGCCGCCTCAGCCTCACCCAGCCAACTGAAGCCTGAGCAGCAGAAGCAGCAGCAGCAGCAGTAGCAGCAGTTGTTTCCCCCTCTTCAGGGCTGGCCCACTGGCCTCGGAGCAACAGGACGGCGGTGCTGCATGGCTGATAACAAGCACACATGCATAGCAGAGTGATTATTCAGTTGTTTGTGTGGTTAAGTTGTGCATTACATAAGTGGCTGCATTCAACAAATGCACAGAGATCCTTCACAAGTTTCCATTTATACTGAAAAATACAGAACAGAACATGGTCTTGTGAGGTTTTGCCAACATTTCTCTTCATCACACTGCCTCACTATTAAAAAAAACACTCAGATGGGAATGACATGCAGTCTATAGGCACCATCAGCTCTTAGACATTAAGAAATATTAGGGAAAAAACACCATATTTATGAAAGAAATCTGTTCAAATCAGTGTATCCTCGCACTTTATTGAGAGCTGCTTACTTTTGTGGTGCACCAAACCTTGAAGATTGCTCTACTGATGAGCTGCCAGAGCAGATGGTGAGACATGGGTGTCCCAGCAATGCCGTGTCCCGTCATGCTTAACAAAAAATTTCCGTCTATACCAGCTGCATTACTGGTATCATGGAGCGCATCGCATTCGCTTTTGGATTTCGTGCCATAATCTGAGCAGCAAATACCCTCCTGGAATGAACGGGAATGTCATCTAATAAATAGTTAATTAGGGTAAAACACAAAAGAAAGCATCTCGGCTGTATTTTTCTCCCCCAAAATAAAGGGTTTCTAACACTGGCAGCTGCTTCCTTCCGGAGGTTCGAGCTGATCAAATCTTAAGGATCGCATCGGATGATTATTATTATTATGTCGATCGCATATTTTTTCAGCTATATTCCGATCAGCGCAGCGACGTTATAATACGCCGTCTTGATATTTCACAGGCGCTTCTGATTTTCATCACACACACACACACACAGACACACACACACACACGTTTGAACACACAAAGCAGGCGTGCAGCGGACTCACCTACTCTACTGGCCTGGTCCACGACACGAGTGGAAAAGGGGCGAAGCCAATAACACCAAAGTCTTCCGTGAACACTTTAATGTGGACTTTAAAGCTAAAAGTATTTATGAATGAAACCCCGCCGCTTAAGACACGCCCACCACCCCGGTCACAGCCGCACCACGTGACGCAGGGAGTGAGGTAAAGCTGAGTGATGGAAGGTTTTTCACCAAAAAAAAAAAAAAAAGAAAGAAAGAAAAAAAAAAAATCATCCTGATGCTCAGTCAGTCTGCACAGCTGCGTCAGAGGAGGGGAAGCCTAGCAGCATGCACTTAATGTAAACCCCTGCTTTGATTTCATTTACATTTTTTTTTACAACTAGAAGCTCTGATCCTCATTATTCCTTATTGCTATTTAGGTTGTTATTGATTTGTTACACTATGCAGTCAGTAGGTAGTAGATGTGTGGAAAAGGGTACAGAAGAGCTTATATGTTATTATAAAAAGCACGCACACACACACAAATACACACATATATATTCCTGTTAGTGTGTGTGTGAGTGAGTCGTGATGTCCATACAGTCTATGGAGAAAAAAAAAAACACTTGGTCCTCAGAGAAGGTTAGTGGGTCCATATGTCTGTTGTTCCTGGTTCAGCCAGTAAATAGCACAGGGTTTTAGTGCCATCTCCTGGTGGTGTTGGTCGCTCGCTGGTTTTAAAGTGGAAATCTGGGACATAAACCAGAGTAATTACTATTCCCAGTATTTTGGACCAATCCGTACCTCCCAATGTTCAATAGAAGATTTGTTAAGATATAATTTGTCCTCCATTTATGAGACTTATTGACCTCTATTGTTGTTTCCTGTTTGCTTTTAGTTTCAGGAGTATATAGGAGCAGGATTCAGCAGAAATATTAATGCATCTGCACTATAAATCATCTGAAGTTCATTCATCTTAGAAACCTACGTTCCCCCGCTGTGCAGTATTTTTTTGCCTTTTTTTCTTCTGTGTGATATCTGTGTAGTATAGATAATATCTGTGCAATATTAATAATACACCATCAGTACTTCTACTCATGAAAGACTCTGTGCAATCGCATCGATATGTGCTGTATTGTTATTTTCATACAGAGGAATTTGGACAATCTGAAGTCTATATTTTTTGTTTATTTTTCTTCAGGTATTTCTTGAATGTTTGCACTATACCCTTGCATCTTTAACAAAACAAATTTCCCCACTGGAGGATTGTTAAAGGCCCATCGTATCGTAAACATTTGAGTCAGCTGCACTTTGGTTGATTCATTAGTTTAAAGTCATCTTAAGAGTTGTAAAAGTGTAAAACTAGCTGAGGAAAATTTAAAAAAGCAAAATTGAGAAAAAAAGTTCAGCTAGTTGAATCAACTCGTCACTCAGACAATGGTTAAGTTTAAGGAAGCTCATTTTTATTTAACATGGAGAACTTGTAGTCACAGCTATTGAAGCCATTTTTGACCAGAGCCAAAACAATCTGTGATGCTGCTTCTGGTTACATGAAATCAATTATAAATCTATGGATGCTGTGGTTAGAACTGTCTTAACTGTAATGAAAAGAAGCATTCATTGCCCTATTGTATGTCTCTGGGAGGTTAAAACTGTGTAATAGTGCATCCTGGGAAGTCTGCTTACATGTTAGCTTTGTTTCTTAGAAACTGAATTTATTGAGTTCATTGAATGAGCGGTTCATTAATTCAACTCATCATTCAAAGTCAGCCAGAAGACAAAGCAGATTAATGACTATCCCCAGTGTTTGGGAGGTTCATGTTCCTCCAAAACACTGACTGAATACCAGTCTGTCCCACCCAATGTACAGTAGAAGATATGTATTATTATATATCCTCCTTTTATGAGCCTTATCGATGTAGCTCTCTGTTGTTGTTTCCTGTTTGTTTATAATTTACTTGCTGACCCAAGTTGTTAGAACTCACGCTTTTAAGTTCTAAAGTGGTCTCAAAATCAATATTAGACATTTTAAATGGAATTAACTAGAGTGCTTTAGTAGAACATAGCTGGACTTTTACTGTAGCACTTAGGATTACCGTGACCAGGAGGACTGAGAGTATACACAAACGTGCAATATTAGTTTCAGAGTTTTAATTTTGTTATGGGACTGGAGTTACAGGGATGCACTCTTTAGCAGCTCAGATACACCTGGATCTCCCCCAGTGTCCCCAAATTTATGACCTTGCTCCTAAATGTTGAAATCTAAATATGTTTATTTGTAAACCCAACAAGAAAGACAATTGAAGGTGTTTTTTTAGTCAGTAGCATAGACACATATTGAGGATATATCCACCTCAATATTTAAAAAATGTACTCTTGTCCCATCCAATTCTGCATATTTCTTTGCATAGAATGCCTAAAAGCTTTTTTCTCTTTTATTGCTTTTCAACATTAAACCATGACTAATTTAATTTAACTTTCATGGCAAGAATTTAAAACAATAACAAAAAAAGATTATTTCATGTTAAGGTGAAAACATTTTTCTACAAGATAATGTTTATTATTTAAAAATAGAAAATGTAATCTAAGGTTGCATAAAAATTCTGTCCTTTTAAAGTGACTCGCCTCAATTCAATACAGGTGCAGCCAAATTGTCCTAAAGTCTGTTTTCACTTTGACATGAGAGAATCTTTTTTAGTAAACTTTTAGTAGAAAAACAACTATTGAACACGATTCAAAGTTGAAAAGCAGTACAAAGGGAAAACGTCAAATATGGATGAATACTTTTATTTTAAAAAATACATAAAGGCATCTCTGTTATAAATGGGTGCAGAAAAGGCATAAATTGCTCTGCAAAAAATCAACAAAATGCAGAAAATTAAATGTATGAAACAAAAATCTACACAAATACTGCCTCTGAAACTGTGTCGGAAGCTGTTTCCTTGCTTTTTTTTTTTTGCTTTTTTTTAAAAGAAAATATACCTTTTTTCTTTTATCAATTTCACAGCAAATTCACAAATTCACAACCAAACCACAATAATTTTAACCTAAATATTTGTGTAGGCTGTTTTCTTCCTAAAGACTACGCTACCCTGCATCCTCTGCTCCGCCGCAAAGCCTCCTGGGAAGCTTCCCAACGTCCTTGTCCTACCAAGCGCACACCGACCGCCTCCACGCAAGGGCTCCGGGATCTCTGTCATTCACTTGTGCTTGAATAAAACCAGACTTTTCAGACATGATGGCAGCAAGGTTCCTCCGTCGTGCTCTCCCGGTGCTGAGGCAAAGCCGCTCCTACGCCGAGGCCGTCTCCGGTGGCCCGCAGATGTCCTTCACTTTCGCCTCCCCGACACAGGTAACGTTACTGGCGAGGCTCCTCGGGCCCAGCTAGCTGGTCGGCTAGCTTAAATGTCCCATTGAAATGACTCGTCAAAGTTTGTAGAAAGCTCTGCCTCTTTAGCAGTTTGCTGCTAATACACAGTGTCTCTCTTATTGCTATACACGAAAACTATGCATACGGTCAGTTAGTTATTTTTCGAGTTAAGAGTTTGTAGTGTTTGTTAAAGGGTTAGCATTGCTAGCTAGCTAGCTAGCTAACGTAGCTGTCATTCACTGTCTTTGAGCAACAGTGTGTGTTGTTTGCTGCGAAACTGCAAAAGTAAAGTGTTGCTTTTTTTTTCAAATGCATAAATCTTGCAGTGCATTTTTAAATACATGTTTTAAATGTATAACATAAGCTTGAGTTTAAGTGTTACGTGAAACCACCACCACCTAGCATTAGCGTGTTAAATGCACAAGTGTAACCTTGAAGCTGGTGTTAGTGGAGCCTGTTTTACGAAAGCAATGTTTTTGTCCTCATTGTTATAATGCATTTTAAATACACATGCAAAGGTGTCAAACTCTTGTTGTAGCATTAAAAATGGTTATTGACAACGCTCTGCTCCATTCCAGTTCCATTTGCAGTTTTGTGGTTTTGCAGATGAATCTTGCATTTAGAAACGATGCATACTCAAAAAGATAAGTAAATGATGGGGGAAAGTACAAGTGTAATTTAGTATAAATTGTGGTGGTGCATATACAGCAGAGAGGCAATATTGTATTTAGCATATAGTCTATTCATGCTTGTATTTAGTATGAGTACACCTGCTGATATTGCAGTGCAAAGGTTTGGGCATTTTAAAGTGATCATGCAAATATTTCATTGAAAAAGTATTGAAAATGTCTGCAGAAAATGTTGAGGCGTTTCAGAGGCGAATGGCAAGGGGAACACTAAAGTTTCTTAGTCTCTTTGGTTTGGTCTCTCCTTAATCGTTACTGTTAGTTGCCACTTTGCTTAAATGTGTTGCCTCTGTGTTTTCCATCCCAGGTGTTTTTCAAAGAGGCCAGTGTGAAGCAGGTCGATGTGCCCACACTCACCGGTGCATTCGGTATCCTTCCGGCCCACGTTCCCACCCTGCAGGTGCTCAGGCCCGGTGTTGTCACAGTCTTCAATGACGACGGCTCCTCTGCTAAATACTTTGGTAAGATCTTGGTGTACAAAAACGGGAAATGACCTCAGACAAGCCCTTCTTATAAGGCCTCAATGTCATTATCCTGCTGATCCATTTAGACTGCACGATAATGGCAAAAAAAAATACCCCACTTTAATGCTGTGCTACATTCCAGCTATTTTACAAATCCCTGCATCAAAATATAAGGTTCTTCTTCAGCTGAATTCATTGCATCTCCTTGAGGCAAAATATAGAGAAAATTATACCCAGAACACCTCATTCACTGAACATCTTCTTATCAATAGACATCTGAATTTGCAGATATTCCAGAAATGCCTCTTGTGGCAGCAACAGTAGAAATCAGCTCGGTGGCTGTGCACAGAAAAGCCTTTAGTTTCCAATCTGCACTGTAGCAACAAAAATAATTTTAAAGAGTGAAATAAAACATTCTCATGTCAGATTTCTTTTTTTTTTTTTTTAAAGCTGCAACCAAGTGATTTCATGTACTAGGGCTGTTTTCTGCAAGTGGAATCTCTGTGTATGGGGTTAACTATGAGCAGAACACACATTTTAAACGTCAATATTGCAGCCGATCGTGTTCATTTAATTGCAGGAAGCCAAAATCTTGATTGTGATTAATAT